TGTGTGGGTGTGTGTGTGTGTGGGTGTGTGTGTGTGTGTGTGTGTGTGTGTGTGTGTGTAGGGGAGTGCTGTCCCTGGCTGTTGGGGGATCCTGGAAAGGGCATTTGGGCTTGTGGAGTAGATATGTGCATGGATGAGTAGGGGGTGCAGTCTCTGAGACTTCAGCGCTGGTCGGAAATGAGAATTGGTGATTTTAAAGAGAACAAAGAGATGTCACTGAAGATGGACATCTGGAGTGGAAAATGAGGATTTGGGCAGGGTTGTGAAGGAGAATGGGTAGTTTATGAGAGGGCGAGGTGAGATTCCTTGGAGCGGAGTGTTCGGGGTTTTTGGAAGTTATACTAGAGTCGCTGGGTTTCGGTGAAGTGGGGACGAGGCTTACAAGTGCGTCTGAACACACGGGCCAGTGGAGCGGAGGAAAGAAACCGAGGGAGCCCGCCAGTGGGCGTGCGCTCGGTGCTGGGAACTCCGCGGAGGTATGATGCCAGGATCCTGAGGTCAGGGTACCTTCGCCACGGAATCCAGCGCCTTAATTGGCGCCTGGGTACCTATCTAGTAACCTGCGTCGAGACCCGGGGTGGTCACACCTAAGGAGCTGGGGGTGGCTCACACTCGTATCTTCTAGCTGTGGGAAGTTTCTCTGTGCTTGGAATCCTTCAAGGGTCTGTTCTTGAATAGCCCTTTTTCCCTGGGTGGGAATGACCACAAAGTTCAGCCCAGACCCTCTTTTTACTTGTTTGCCCCAAGTGTTTAACCTGGCAAGTGCAGTCTTTAGGGAACACCGGCCCCAAGGCCAACGTTGAAGAAAAAAATGGTTCAACCCATATCTGACTTTGAACAGCTCCATTTTGTGCAAAGTAAGTTCCACTTGAGGGAGAGAAGTCATTAAAGCAGTGGTTCTCAAACTGTGGTCCCCAGACCAGCAGCATCACCTGGGAACTTGTTAGAAATGGCCAGGTTTTCTAGACCTACCAGACTACTGAGTCAGTCTGGGGGTGGGGACCAGCAATCTGTTTTAGCAAGCCCTGCAGGGGATGAGAGTGATGATTTCTTGATTTGGGCTCTGTAATGAGAGGTGCATGAGAGTGGGAGTCAGAGGATCCTAATAGTTCTGGTACTTACTTTTCTCCCCTTAAAAAACGGAGTGATGATAACGTTTTCCTCACTAGCCTGCTGAAAGAGGCCAATGGTTTGTGTGCACAACACAGGAAGAGAAAGTAATTCGGCAAAACTCTTGGAAATATCAGTGGCTGTCCTGTAAGTTTTGGATGCAAAATAATGCTACAGTTATGTGGTTGGTTGAATTTACTTTTTTTTCATAAATTTATTTATTATTTATTTTTGGCTGCATTGGGTCTTCATTGCTGTGCATGAGCTTTATCTAGTTGCGGTGAGCAGGGGCTACTCTTCGTTGTGGTGCGTGGTCTCTAGGTGCCCGGGCTTCGGTAGTTGTGGCACACAGGCTCAGTAGTTGTGGCGTACGGGCTTAGTTGCTCCGCGGCATGTGGAATCTTCCCGGACCAGGGCTCGAACCCGTGTCCCCTGCATTGGCAGGCGGATTCTTAACCACTGCGCCAGCAGGTAAGTCCCCTGGTTGAATTTAGTTTTGGAAATGGAACAGCAGACCTCTGAGTTGTAGAAGTGCCCTGATTTGGGGGGGAGGGGGAGTTTTATAATTAGCCTCAAGACAATGACTCTTAGCTAAAGAAACACCTGAGCTTTGTGGCTGCACATTAAAATCACCCGAAGAGCTTTTGAAACACTAGCTTCTGAGTTGCCGCGCCCTTCCCCAATTTGATTAATTGTTCTGGGTGAAGCCAAGGCATCACCACTTTTTAAGTGCACCCAGGTGATTCCAGTACAGCCAAGGCTGAGAAGCTCTGGCCTCAAGGACAACTTGAGCAAAACGGAAACTACACTAAATACTTAAACATTTATTCCTTGAGGGTTATTCTGAAGATTATGGCTTTAACTTCATTTTACAAGTTAGGAAGCTGAGACTTGGTGAAACCATTTGTCTGAACATCACACAGAACTGCAGGTTTAGGTTTGCTGAACTCTTATTCAGACCTTCCACACACATCAACACATACACACGCACACACACACGCACATACACACACACGCACATACACACACACGCACACACACATACACACACGGGCGCACCCACACACGCGGGAGACAGTTCTACAGAGAGAGGTAGAGGAAACTTCGAAGGGTGAGGGATTTGGTGCCTTTTTTCCTGTTGTACTTGCCTGGGTCTCCTTTCAAGTCAGAGGTTTTACCCCTTAGGCTGATTTTTATTTTTTAAGCATGCGCACAGTTGCTTCTTGTCTGTGTGCAGCCTGAAGCTGTGAAGCAGGGGCCTGCTTTTGTTTCCGATTTGGTTTGTTTTTCTGTGTGGTCAGAAATTCATAGGGCTTATAGAGCCAGAGGTTGGGGAGCTTCTCCAAGACCAGGAAGTTAAATGTAGGCTGATTGGAGTGGGGGGACACAGAACTTTTAGAACAGCCGGTTGAAATCTTGGCTGCACATTGGAATCACCTAGGGAGTTGGAATTCTAAAGTGCTCTTGCCTAGCCACACCCCCAGACCAATTGCATCAGAATTTCCCAGAGTAGCGCCCAGGCATCAGGATTTTTTTTAAAGCGGAGAGCCGCTGTTTAGGATCAGCAACAGTACGCTCAGGGAAGGTGGGAAAGAGAAGCCTGGACTTACTTGTCTAACTGGAATAATTGATTCCAGTAGAATTGAGTAGAATCAGCGACCAGTACTGCAGGTGTTCGTCACCTCTGTTTCTTGTGGCCAGTTGTGCTCTCTCCTGCCTCACCTCCCCAGCCTCATTAAGGATGAAACAAAGGCAGGATCCCAGCAGGGATGGCTGAGGAGGCCTCCGAAGAGAGGTTTGCTGTGAGAGGCTCATTGTCTACTGCTTTGTGTCCTCTGCTCCCTGTGCCTCAGGCTTAGGGATGAGCACAGCCAGAATCTTTTTTCCAAGGGCCTCTGCTAGTATTGAAGTGACTGACCTTTGGAAGGGTGGGCTCTGGAAAGGTTCAGGGCTTTCTCTGTCTACTGGGAAGTCTCAAGCTAGATCAGGATGGTTTCTGCCTTTCTCTCTTAGTGATTCTCGGTCGAATGTCAGTAGACCTGGAAATGGACTTAAAAGAGAAGATAATTTGAGACTTGGAGCGCATTCCCAGATCATTGTAGTTTGAGTGCTTTGTGTTGCTCTGAGGCAGGGACTGGGCTGAGTGGTCTCTGGGACATCGCAGCCCTGGAAGGTGTGCCCGCTGTCCCCACTCGCTAGACGGGACTAGACTCAGACAGCTGGTAAGTGGCAGGGCTTGGGGCCGAAACTCAGGTCTGACTTCCAAACCCAAGCCCTCCTGTTGTTCTTTCAGAGCTTTTTTATACTTTCTGAAGAATGGGGGGTGGGGCCCCCTTTCTTAATTTCTGTGTCATAGCTCTGTATATACCAAGCATGACCATTGATAAAACCATGGGCTTGGGCCAGGCAGGACTTGCCCACGTCCTTCACTCGCTTCTTATCAAGACACCTCCATCACCAGTGCACTTGGAGAAGTGACTGATTGTCTGTGGGCTGAGGTATCCAAATCCACAAAATGAAGATAGTGATAACTGTCTTCCAGCATTGTTTGGATTTAAATGGTAGTATGTGGTGATAGAAATTAAAACAGTGGTATCTCCTGGAAGGGAGGAGTGGGAAAGGGTCAGGGAGGGGCTTTCTGGAGTGATGGAAGTGTTCTCTATCTTGATTTGAGTAGGGGCTACATAGATGGCATAAGTTGACCCAAACTCATCAAACTCTACACTTAAAATACACTTTAGTGTATGCAAATTATCTTTAAAAAGGTAAGGAGGGGCTTCCCTGGTGGCGCAGTGGTTGAGAGTCCGCCTGCCCATGCAGGGGACACAGGTTCGTGCCCCGGTCTGGGAAGATCCCACATGCCACGGAGCAGCTGGGCCCGTGAGCCATGGCCACTGAGGCTGCGCGTCTGGAGGCTGTGCTCGGCAATGGGAGAGGCCACAACAGTGAGAGGCCCGTGTACCGCAAAGAATAAAAAGGTATTGGAAAGCAAAAAAAGTACAGCACGTAAAATTATTCTTTATAACTTTTTTTGTCTGTTTCACGGTAAGTGCCTTACAAAACGCCATACCATTTCCCAAAAAAATATTTATTTTTGTATAAATTTAGATCTGAAATGGGTGCTTAAAAAAGTATTTCTGTTTGGGGGCAAATTTCCTTAACTAACTCCCCCCCAAAAAAACTCCCAATCCATAATTATAAGCTTTTCTTTCCCCCCTGCTCCAGGTCTTCAGAGTTTTCTGAAACTCTTAACTCCCATAAGCCATTTCTGTCATCAAATGGACAACGTGTCTTTCTGGGGGAAATGGTTGGTCATAACTGTTAGTGGCAGGTCTCTGAGGACTGATTTCACAGGAAAGCTAGGAGGGAGGCATCACTGCTTCCTCTTGGCCTCTGTCTTTTGTGTTTGGCATCAGGCCACAGAGACCCCAGGTGAGCTAAGCCTGAGCTTTTGAAAACTTAACCTTGTGATGTTTTCACTTGGTGAACGAAGCAGGAACAGTTTCTTGAGAAAACACCTTTCTCTCCAGGAGGCCATTCTTCGTCTGTGTCATTCTGCAGTGCCCTGACGACAGTGGGTTCCCCAGTGGGTGATTTCCAGGCCATTCTTTTGAGGGGATGGAGGTCAAGCTAGTTGGCCATTGCCTCTAGTATCACTGGTGGATGGCAGGTTGCCACCCGTTAGTCCCTTAGCCCATTTAAAAAATAACACTTGTGGGGACTTTCCTGTTGGCGCAGTGCTTAAGAATCCACCTGCCAATGCAGGGGACTTGGGTTCGAGCCCTGGTCCGGGAATATCTCACATGTCACAGAGCAACTAAGCTCGTGTGCCACAACTACTGAGCCTGCACTCTAGAGCTCGCAAGCCACAACTACTGAGGCCCGTTTGCCACAACTAATGAAGCCTGTGTGCCTAGAGCCTGTGTTCACAACGAGAGGGCACCGCAGTGAGAAGCCTGCGCACAAGGAAGAGTAGCCCCCACTCACCTCAACTAGAGAAAGCCTGTGCGCAGCAACGAAGACCCAAAGCAGCCAAAAAATAAATAAATGAACAAATTAAAAATGAATAAATAAATTCTAAAAAAAAATAACAGTTGTGTTTTACCAGCTATAAATGTAATATGTGTTTATTGTGGGAGGACTGAAAAAGAAAAGCATAAAGAATAAAAAAAAACAGTCCTTTTTCAGTCCAGGGTATAGTTTTAAAGGTTTTGTGTTGTCAGTGCCCTCCAGCTGAAACCACCAAGAGTATGTCTATAGTCATAGTTGGGTTTGTTTCCTTGGTGCATTGAGGGAGAACTGTGGAGAGTCTCAGAAAGAGGACTCAGGCTTCTGGTGGGTGATTGTGGGAAGGACTCAGGGAAGTGGGGCTTTGCTCTGTGTTGAATGCTGCCGGAAAACAGGGCTAATTCTGGGATTGGGTCTTAGTAATTCCTCACTTGAAGGTGGGAAGGATGGAATGGGGCTCTAATTGGTAAAGAAGCAGCCATGACCCTTATTGGTCATTTTTGGGGGGACAATGTCCTTGTTTTTGTCTGTGTTCAGACATTACGGAGTGGCCTTGCTTGTGTCTTGATGCATCAGCCGCCGAGTTGCCTTGTCTGCTGGTGTTGTGCTGTGAAGTCATTCACATTCTGTGGGAACCCCAAGGCCTCGGCCTGAGTGCTGGGCCAGCTCGTGGCCAGCAGGGGCTGCCTTCTCAGTGCTGTGCTCCAGATCCAGTGAAGACTCAGCCACTCTTAGAATCTTCAGATTGTTCCCTATTCAAGAAAAGTTTTCTACTGGGAGTCTGCGATTAGCAGTTGTAAACTATTGTATATAGGATGGATAAACAAGGTCCTACTGGATAGCATGGGCAGCTATATTCAGTATCCTATGATAAACCATAATGGAAAACAATATTAAAAAAATGTGTGTATAACTGAGCCACTTTGCTGTACAGCAGAGATGGGCACAACATTGTAAATCAGCTAGACTTCAATTAAAAAAAAATAAAATTTGGGAAAAAAGAAAAGTTTTCTTTGCATACACACATGCCAGGTACCAGTCTCCTTTCCTACATCTGCTTAGATCAGACACTGCATCCATTTCTCTTACGGGGATGTACATGGTCACTGGCAGTGCTCTTTAGGGAGACTGAGCAGATCTTGCTGTTTGGGGGAGCACTAGTACAGGAAGTCTCCATTTTGCAATAACTTGCTTCCAAGAGTTTTTATGTCTTTTGTTGAGTACTTAGAAACACTTTTTCCCTGTAAGGGAATGGTAGTTGAGACCCTGCTCAATTTCCTGAAAGCTTGTTTCATGGGTAATTCAACTGAAAAGTGGCACTTTTAGCTGTTCCATTGTGCATAGCAGTAAGGAAACGGGACCTTGGCAGTGCTTTCGGCCACTTTAGGATACAGACAGGGTGTTCATTTATACGGGTAGTGGGTACAAAGGAAGTCCTTGTAATGCAAGACTTAGTGGCAAACTGGTACTTGCAGGGTCAGCAGTGAAGCCAGTGTATGAGGCTGTCTGCTTGGAGTTTGGGGCAGGTTGGGGAGTGCATGCTCCTCCCCATGGGGCAGCCGACGCCCCAGCTCCCACCACTGGTTCCCCTGCTGGCCTAGTTGGCCTCTGATTTTTGTTTGTTTGTTTTGTTTTTTTGCGGTACGCGGGCCTCTCACTGCTGTGGCCTCTCCCATTGCGGAGCACAGGCTCAGGACGCGCAGGCTCAGCAGCCATGGCTCACGGGCCCAGCCGCTCTGCGGCATGTGGGATCTTCCCAGACCGGGGCACGAACCCACGTCCCCTGCATCAGCAGGCGGACTCCCAACCACTGCGCCACCAGGGAAGCCCTGGCCTCTGATTTTAAGGGAAGCCAGAAACTCAGATTTTCCTGTGAATTCTCCCGAGTTGTCAACGCTGGGAGCAAACTTTGTTTTCAATGCAGTATACACTTGGACTAAGCAGAACACATCTGGAGGCCAGCTGCAGCACACTGGCTGAAAAAAGTAAATCAAGCCTGGTGCTGTGACCCTAGCGCCCCTGTGTTTGTCCCCTGGCAGGAAGAGATGTCAGGAGAAAGTGTGGTGAGCTCAGCGGTGCCAGCAGCTGCAACCCGCACCACTTCGTTCAAGGGCACGAGCCCCAGCTCCAAGTACGTGAAGCTGAACGTGGGTGGAGCCCTGTACTACACCACCATGCAGACGCTGACCAAGCAGGACACCATGCTGAAGGCCATGTTCAGCGGGCGCATGGAGGTGCTCACGGATAGTGAAGGTAAGCCCAGCCTCCGGGGCCTGGGATGTGCTTGTGGTTGAGGGCTTCCTTCCAGTTCAGAAAACCAACGTGAAACAGGCAGTGTCCACAGGCCCAGGTTTCCTGTTGTGCTCAGTGTTACTGGGCGTGCAGGGAGCCTTGAGAGTGAGTAACAGGGAGACTGGATCTAATCGTGGGGGAGGGGGAGGTGGTCAAGGAGGGCTTCCCTGAGGAGGTGACACCTAAGCTGAGAGCTGAAGATGAGTAGGAGTCAGCGGGATGGGGGGTCATAATCTTGACTTAGCTGTTGATTTGCAGTGTGACTTTGAGAAAGTCCCTTCCCTGCCCCAGGCATCAGCTATGTACAGTGGACGCTGGACTGGCTGCCCTGGTTGTCTCTCTTCCCATTCTCTCGGTCATGATCCTGTGATGTCAGAGTGAAACTCAAGTGTGACAGAGGTTGGAGCGTTTTCTCTGGACCATTGTCCTCCTAGGATGGGGTCCTGATAAAAGACTCACAAACCTGGATTTTCAAGTCTCAGCTCCCCATTTTCTTGTCTGGTGACCCTAATCAAGTTGTTTAGCCTGTCGTTGTCTCATTTCTCCATCTGGCAAACGGGCACAATGACACCCACCCCAGGGGTACTGCTGGCCCATAGTAAGCATTCAATATATGTATATTTAATGCGTGGGTTTTTTGTTTTTGTTTTTGTTTGTTTTTAGTTGCGGCATGGGAACTTAGTTGTGGCATACGGACTTCTTAGTTGCGGCATGCGAGCTTCTTAGTTGCGGCATGCATGCGGGATCTAGTTCCCTGACCAGGGATCGAACCCGGGCCCCCTGCATTGGGAGCGTGGAGTCTTACCTACTGGACCACCAGGGAAGTCCCCAGTGTGTGGGTTTTTTTTTCTTTTTGTGGAAAGGCATGTTAATGAAGGGCAAAGGATTGTTTAAAATGGTCCTACTTCCCATACCTACTTCCACCCACCTGGAACACTCAGACCCCTGCAAGAGGGAGTATCCTTCCTTGGCTGGGTTTATGGGGCAGGTCACATGAGGTGTAAAGATGGCCCCATCCTTCATTCCTTGGCCTGAGCTTGCTTGAGACCAGGCCAGACCACAGCTTGGCTTGACCCTACCTTACCTGTTTCCGAGGCTGGCCTCTGTGCTGATGCCCCTGCCTTTCTCGAGATGGTAGTTCCTGGAAGAGTGGCGAGTTTTGACACAGGGGGTGGAATTGGGGGCTCTGGGCCTGGTGTGCACAGCGTATTCTCCTGTCCTAAGAGGGCCACACCCTGGACTGTCAGCTAGTGGGGGCGTCTCCCTCTGTGTCCTGGAGAAGCCAGGCTGCTGGGGGACCTGCAGTCCCACTTCCCTGGGCTCCCCACAAACTCGGGTTTCTGGCCCAGCAGCAGGTGAATGAGGTCAGAGCCCCAGAGCTGCCTCCGTGCCCCACCCAGAAAACGCCAGGGTTTTTATGAGTAGGAGGATCCCCTCTGCTGAGCCGCACCCAGCATGGCCCGGGAGTATTTGTGGAAATCAAAACAATAGCACCCCAGCTGCTGAAGGAAGTGGACCTTATCTGAGACCCCAGGATTGTTGTGGCCTTTCTTCCGCCCTGCCCAGTCTCTGGCAGGGCTCAGGAAAAGCGGCTGGCTCGCTTCCAAGGCAAAGTGGAAGCTGTGTCTCCTTGAGAGCCCTCACCTTGGTGGCTTGATGCCATGTCACAAAGGAGACAGAGTCCACAAGCTTTCCCATCCCCCAACTGGGAGACGCACGAGAGTGGAACCAGTGGGCCTGCGCAGGCTTCTAAACAGCTGCCAGAGGACGTCCTTTCTCGGTGCTCCGTGGAAAGCCCAGCATCTCCAGGGAAGCAGTGCTGCCTTTGACACTCCGAACCTCAGCTGTTTCCACTTCACAGAACTCCAGCCCCCTTCAAGTCATCATGAAAAGCTCACAGTATGGCCTTTTATGGGTTTTGTTTCATTTAAGGCTCACCTTAACCCTTTAAGGGGTGGCTGCTGTTGTTACCAATTGCTAAGTGAGAAATCCACATCTCAGAGAGGTGAAATGCTTTTTCAAAAGCTACAGGGCTGGAAATGATGAAGCTACTGAACCCAGGACTTGCTGGCTCTTACTGTCTGTTGTGCGTGGTTTGATGTGGGCCCAGCCCTAGACCCGGTCGTCTGAGTGTGGCAGCCTTATGGTCCAACCACCAGCTTAGAGATGAAGCCCTTTTGGGATGTCAGGCTGAGTGTCTGGTCTTCCAGCCAGCGCTGTGCTGGGAGAGCAATCCTGTTGGCCCCTGGGGAGTACACTGCCCAGCCTGACCCGTGGCCTAAGCACACCCTTGGATCTACAAAACGTGGTAGACTTTCTTTATCTCACAGCTTCACCCTGGCCTTCAGGCAGGAAGCTTGTCGGCGGCAGTGAAGTTTGCCACAAACAGGCCCAAATGCCAAGTGCGGCTTACCCAGGCGAGTGAAGCCATCAGGACGGCATGCTGGTTAAAGAGCAAGGGCTCTGAAGATACTGAACAGTATATGCATTGTGTTGCTAGAAATCTGTACAGGATACCTGAGAAGCTGGTTGCTTCTGGGGAGGGGACCTGGGGTCCTGGGTGGGTGGCAGACTCTCTTGCACCTTCTGCCTGCCTGAGTTGTATACCGTGTGCACGTAATTCCTCAACAGAGAGGAACGTGGGTGTTGGAGGTGGACTTGGATTTGAGTCCTGCTCTGTCCCATGGTAGCTGTCCCAGCTAACCACTATGGAGCAGTTTCCACGTATTGGGCATTGTGCTCATACAGGCTCATTTGCTGTTCACTGGTGATGTGACACTGGGCGAGTGACTTTTTCTCTGAGCCTCTTTCCTCATTTCAAAGTTGCAAATGATAGTGCTTTTCGGGGTTGTCATGGGGATTACATGAGGACATTAGAAAGCCCTTGACAGAATGCCTCGCACTTGGGGAGACTCAGTAAATGGGGGCTGTCTGTTATTGCTTTAGTCCTGCCTGCGCTGGGGTGTAGAGGGGGTGGGGCTGTGTGGAAGGGTCTCAGCACGCTGGGGAGAAGTGTGGGAAGCTGGGGAGTACACTGCCTTGGCCTTGTGGGATGAGGGTGTTGCAGTCTCACGTTCCCCCTACAGGGGTCGCTCTTCTGAGACGACACGGTGGCAGTGATCAGGCCTTCCCCAGACTCCTCCCCGGAAAGGTTCAGTTCCTGCAGTGCTAGAATTTCTCCCGGAGCCCTTGTCATTATCGTCATTGGTGGGTGGATTTATGTGGCACCTTTTGTAACACGACTTCTGTTCGGCCCTCACCTGTAGCTGCCTGCCTCATCCCTGTTGCTTGTAGTACTTTCCCGCCTTAAATGGTGTCTGGTCTCTGGCTAATGTTTTTGGAGTAAGGAAGTCTATAAACTAGATCAGAGAAGAGAGTCATTCATCTAATTAGCAGTAGGCGTTCCCTAGAAAACCAGTGGGTCAGTGTAATAAGCAGTGTAATAAGCAGTGTAATGCAGTACCCGTTTCCCTGAGCTCTCCAGGCCTCCTGCCTTATGCAAAATTCTGAAATAAGTTGAAAGCGTTTAAACTGCATAATGTAACAAACTCCCCTGTGCCCCGACTCAGACAAGGACTAAAACATTACCTGGACCCATGGGGCTTCTCTTTACCCTCTCTGCCTCTCTCCCTTCCAGCGATGACCTCTAAGTAGCTTGGCTGTGGGGTCACTGGGGTGGATTTCAGTCTTTGCTGCACAGAGTCACCCTGAGAGCTAAACCTTGATGCCTGTTGTCCCCCCCCCCCCCCCCGCCCACACTCCTCAGCCAGATGTAACTGGACAGGATGTGGTGGGCATTAGGACTTTAAGAGCTCGCCGTGGGATTCTAATGCGTGGCCAGGGCTGAGAACCACTGGTGTGGGGCTTTGCATGAATTACTGTTACTACAACTGTTTGTGTCTGTAACCACTGTATAGTTGGTGCATTTTTAAACATCATATAAACGGTGTTACGTGTTATAGCTTGTACGTAGCTCTTTAGCTTTTGCTTTAGTGAGCATTATGCCTGTGAGATTGATCCATGAAGAAACAGCTCTAGTTGACACATTTCCCTGAAGTAGAGCGTTCCATGCAGTTTATGGATCCATGTTCTGTGATGGTTATTTAGGCTGTTGCCAGCGTTCACTGTTAGGAATATTATCATTCTCCAACACTCTCCCAGTGCGTGTGTGGGCTCTGCTTCCCAACCTTTGCCACATCGTCGCACACCCAGAAAATAATATATTTACTTTGGTGAATGAAGAAGCTCTGGGGTCCCCAGGCCCCAGCCAACCCCCCCCCCCCCCCCACCTCCCCCACTGGTAACCATAAGTTCATTCTGCTATATTTAAAATAAATAACCCCCCCCCCCCCCCCCCCCACCGCTGCACCGCCCAGGGCCCACAGCATTAAGGTCCTACCCACCATTGGGAGCTCTGCCCTGGAGTTGACTCCCAAGAGGGGAGTTGGAGATCATATCCTCGGCTTGATTAGGTATTAGCGGTTGTGTCAGTTATCCTCCCCACAGGGGTCTGAATTTTTGCCAACACTGGGCACCTGTCATTGTTTACTTACTGCCAATCTGATGGTTATGATGCAGTACTTTGTTGTTTTATTTAGCATTTCCTAATTTCCAGTGCATTGAGTGACTTATGTTTATTGGCCATTGTGTTTCATCATTTAGCTGCCGGACAGTATCTTTACACATTTTCCCGTTTTCCTTTTTTCTTTCTTTGTAGAAGTGTGTATTCTGGATCATATTTCTTTGTGGTCTTATGTTGTAAATATCTTCTCCCAGTCTGATTTGTTGACTTTGATACCTCGAAGTTTTTACATTATTTTTTACATTTAGGTCTTTGATCTATTTCAGTCAGTGGTGCTCAACCAGAGATGATTTTTGACCCTCAGGGACACTTGGCAATATCCAGAGACATTTCTGGGTGTCACATTTTGGGTGTGGAAATGCTATTGGGTGGAGGCCAGGGATGCTGCTACATACCCTATGGAGAGTCTCTCCATAACAAAGAATTACCCGGTCTAAAGTGTCAGTAGTGCTGAGGCAGAGAAACCCTGCCCTAGAGATTCTGATTTAGGAATGAGGCTACTTCCAAGAGTCTGAATTTGTAACAAGGACCCAAGTACCTTAGGCAACTTATGAACAGGCAAGTTTGGGGACCATAAAAATCTAAATAACTTAGTATGGAGGAGAGGTCAGTGAAAGCTCCCTGGAGGAGGTGGGGGAGGGAAGGAGAGAGGAAGTACCTGGTCTGCTGGCGGGGCTGGGAAGGGGGCAAGCCCGGCGGTCCAGTCCCCCGTCTCTGAGCCAAGCCTCCTCCCAGGCACCCCCAAAACCACGCAGACCCCCTTCCTGGGGGCTGGAACATTCCGCCTCTGGATGCCGCTGCCACTCCTGTCTGTCCTCCAGTGATGATGACATATGTAAAGGGCTCACTATCAGAGACCTATTTGATGGCTGCTGGCAGACCCGGCATTGTGCTCTGTGCTTCCTGTACATTCTCTCATCTTACCTTTATGCCAGCCCAGGGAGGAACCATTTTTAGAACAGGAAACCGTCGGACAGAGAGGTTAAGTGAGACACCAACGTCATCCAGCAAGTAGGTGCAGAGCTGGGTTTCCAGTACAGGCCTGTGCTGCCTCACTCAACCCGTCCCAGAGCCTCCGGGTCTACACCCCTCACTCTTCTTTCCAGCCCTGCCGAAGGGGCCAGGGAGCCCAGGTCACCCTGACCTGGCTTGGCTTCCCTTAGCTTGTCTATATGCTGGGGACTGGAGCTGACTGTTTCAAAGGGATTGATTCCTGCTTTGAAAGCAACTAAAATATTTTGAAGTCAAAATGCTAATTGAAACCTCATGGAGAGTGAGCCTGGCTCTGTTCTTTTTTTTTGCCCTTATTTGTCCAAAGTATGATTCCTTCACCACAAGCATTTCCTGACAGCATTCTTGAGCCAGAGCCCAGTGTCACGGTCCGCCTGTTCGTTTATGGAAACTCTGGACTGTCACTTGGGTAATTGATTTCAGGGGCCCTCGTTCTTTCTGAGTGGCTGTGTTGTCCACGCATCAAAGGCAGACGAGGACATTTTCTTCCCAGCGCAGCTGGTTGGAATTTGTTGCCCTTTCTCCCAAAGACTGAGGTTCTATGTGTCTTCTCAATTTCGTATGATGAAAAGAGTTTTCCTGCGAGTTCCTTGCTTGTTCTTTGTGGTTTAGTTCTGCCTCCCCAACTTGGGAGTGTCCCTGAACCTCTCTGAGCCTCTGTTTTCATCTGAGGAAAATGCAGGGGAATGAGCCTCCATCAACAAGAACTGTTGGGAAGATAATACGGTCTTTCCATACCTTGTCGACTTGCTGGAAGGAGAGCACTTGATCCACAGTAACAACAGGGGTCACAAGCTGGTGGCCAGCAGGCCCTGTTTTGGCTGCCCTGTGGTGGGTTAATGACAGGTTTAAAAAAAAAATCAGTTTACTGTTCTTTGGAAGTCGGGAGATTTCACAGGGAAATCTGCATTTTTGGCTTCTCCTGGAACATCAGGGGCTCTCTCAGCCCTGGGCTTCATTCCTGCCTGGCCAGTTTTGGCTGGAGTGGGAAGAACCCCCTTGGGGGGCGGGGACGGGGCGAGGCAGGGCCTGGGCTGTGGTCTGCCCTGCCCACCCGCACTTGGTTATCCTGTGTGCTCAAGGCCCCTGTAGGCATCTGAGCTGCAGAACAGATACTGAGTCCGCACTTCGTTGTCTCAGCTGGAGAAAGGAGTGGGAACATAATGTCCAGTGGGCGCTGTCCAGGTGACAGGATTTACCACACCTGTGAAGGCCTCGTCCTTCCTCGGATGCAGGGTCTGACTCCAGGCCACACATTTGCTTTGTGTTTGCCGAGATTGGAGATTAACTTCTTGCTGTACTCAGGAAGCCATAGCAGCGTGGAAGTGCCACGCAGAAGGCTCTGGAGGGACAAGACGGGACCTTTAACCAAAGGCCCAGGAACCGTGGACTGAGGAGTAGTTGCAAAGCGGAACGTGGAAATGGCCTCATCGTCAACTCTCCTGGTGATGGCGGCAAAGAACACTAACTAGTGCACTAGAACACCTGAGCACACTTGGCAGGGCTGGACTCGGGGGAGGCGGGCCAACTTGTGACCGGACGTGAAAAGGTGCCTTGGCTGCCCTTGGCCTCCATTGGCCTCTGCTGCCGATCCAGGGCCCGGAGTCTGAGGAGGATTTGGAAAGACATAGTGGTCTTAGGAGTGGAAACCTGGCTCTTTTCCCAAACTGAGGGAAAGCAGGGGCAGAGAATGAGTGATTCCTGTGTGAACCTCCTAACTTCCCTGGGCGCTGGCGTTTCCTCACCTGCAGCGCGCAGCAGGAGACTTGGGGCCCCCTTCCCAGGGTGACCCTGCTTATCGGGAAGGCCGGGACTTCTCCGTCTGTCTAGCTTCACATTTTCTCTTGAGATGTACTTGGTCTTCACTTCATCCCTGCTTCCCCTTCTGGTACCTCCTCCTCCCCTTCCCAGGCTCCAGTCCTCTTTCCTCTTCCCAGTAGCATTTGCATTTCAGCGGAGGAATTTCGAGAAGCCGCATAGCGGCCCTGCAGACCAGGGCCAGGACTGGAGACCGGAGAAGACACTGAGAAGCTGCAGGACTCGCCTTGTCCCCACCCACAAGGCACGATTTCGCACTGTGCCTGGTTCTGGTCAGCAGCTGGGATGTGTTTCTTTATCTCATGAATGCCAGTGCCATCTCCCCAAGTTAGACTGAACTGCTTGAGGGCAGGGTCTGGCTGGTCACTATTTTATCTCTGATCGCTGTCGTTAGCCACTAAACACTTGTTTGGGCGGTTACGGATGGAATTTTCTGTGGTGGTGCTGGTGAGTGCCTGGGGGTCACCCTTGGGAGTCAGATGTCACAGCCTGCAGCAGTGAGCCGTCTGCTTCCTTAGAAATGGCTCTGTTATTTGGGAGTCTGAAAAAAAAAAAAGCGTTGTTGTAAAAGGGAATAGATATTTTCACATCAGAAGCCTTTCCCCTGTCAATGGGATGTGCTCATTTGGACCCATTTTATCCAGGTGTGGGGTAGGCCCTCTTGCGATATTCTTAACATAGGGATTTTTGAGGTACTTTAGGAACATGCTTTTAGGTCCCAGGGGCCGTGGACTTCCCTGGCAGTCCAGTGGTTAAGACTCCGTGCTTCCTTTGCAGGGGGCACCGGTTCAGTCCTTCCTTCGGTGTGGCCAAAAAGTTAAAAATAAATAAATAAAATAAAGGAGCCCGAACCAGTGAGTCTGGGGTGTGCTTGTCTGCAGCCAGCAGGGCCTGGTCAGCCCTTTGCTGGTAGCTGGGCAGGTGGGGCCGCAACCGTCTCTGTGGTCCTGCTCTCCCTGGAGGTAGTGGGAGCCAAGAGACACCCCAGCTCTCTACCCCCCTCCTCCCACCGCAGGCTGGATCCTCATTGACCGGTGTGGGAAGCACTTTGGTACCATACTCAACTACCTTCGTGACGGGGCGGTCCCCCTGCCTGAGAGCCGCCGGGAGATCGAGGAGCTGCTGGCAGAAGCCAAGTACTACCTGGTCCAGGGCCTGGTGGAAGAGTGCCAGGCAGCCCTGCAAGTAGGTATCACCCTTTCTCCCCGTGTGGGCGGGGGGAGCCCCAGACTTATCTGGCTTTCTCATTGTCCGCCTCCCTCATTGAGCTGTTGTGAGAGTTAATGAGTTGACCCCGGAGCTGCTCCCCTCTGGCCTGCGCGACCCCCGAGAGGCTTCCCTGTGATGCTGAGGCCACCTGACTGCTCTCTGGCTTATTTCAGCTCCCATGGTGTTGGGTCCTCTCCCTGTGTGCATTGTAACCCTTCAGTACCGAGCCATGGGGTGTAAAACCTGATCCTTTTTCTGAACTCATTGGGAGACTTATTCGCATCCCACAAGTCATTGTTGAGAGCCCAGCGTAATCTCTACAGACAGACACCCCTCACTCCTCAGCTGGAGCTGGGGAAGGACTGCTGGGGTCAAATCTAGGGACAGTAAAATTCCTACAAAACCAGAACACTTCTAGATGTAGCCAGCAGCCATTTATTTCAAGGCAAGTTAAGACATGGCAGAGAATCAGAACCCCTTTGCGTTGTCCTAGGAATTGGATCTACAAAGGTGAGGCTCTTGGGTGGCTCTCCACTGGGACAGTACCCACAATGCCAGTCTGCCTGAGGAACTGTTATTTGCACACACCACCCCTGCTGCTACTGCGAGTCTGTGAACTCCCTGTAAATCTAACTGAATGTTGTAGCTTTTACTTTGTTATTTTTTATTTCATTTGTATGTTTATTAAAGTAACGCATGTAAAGCGTTTACCAAGTCAAGTTAGTATTGTAAGCTAGGTTGATGTCAAAAACACTACCATACGCCTTCCACCCACTCCCACCCCTGCAGCAGCCTCTTTTAATTCTTGCAACAGTTCTTTACTCACCTATTTCTTATACTATTTATTGAGTTTTCAGTTTACCACATTATCTACTGGCGCTTCTGTAGAAAATTAAAATTTAGCTCATGCACCACCCCAGCCACTACCAAACTTGCCTGCACATATTCCTTCTCCCAGTATAGTTTATCACAGTTTTGATTAAATCTGTACTCAGAGTTTACGTTGAGTCATGTAAATATTGTTAACAGTTGAGCCACAGGGTATACAGTGATTATTTCCTTTCTCGTGTAACTTTTCAGTTTGCCAGAATCAGTGATTGCTTGTCTTTTGTTTGCTTGGTTTTCTAAGCACACATCCCTAATTCAGCCCTAAATTCTCAGAAACTTCAGTCTCCTTCTGGTATGTTCAGACACATCAGGGAATCTCTGTTTCATCTTTGTCTTAGAGACATGCCCTCTGGGTTCCTTTTTGTGGTTTCTGTTAGTCTGAGATTAAACCTCCGGGACTGACCTCCTAGTTTCTGTCACCCTTATCCTTCTATTTTCTCAGAGGGTTTTTTCAGTTTTATCTTTTCAACACTTCTATTGAATTTTTCATTTCTGCTATCGTATTTCTGACTCCCGAGAGCCTTTTCTAGTTCTCCGAGTGCTTTTTTATATAGCATGCTGATCTTGTTTCATGGGATGTGATATCTGCTCTCATCTGTCTAATGGTACTATTTGAAGTTTTCTTTCTGCTGCCTTCATTGTGTGACTCCTCCTCTTACTTTTTCTCTTTGTTTTGGTTTCAGTCTCATATTTGAGAGGCTTTCCGGGTATAATCTGATGGTCCTTGTCTGTTGAAATTCAAGAGTAAAGGCTCTGAAACACTGTATGTATTGTCCAGTGGGCTTCAGTGGCAGATGATAAGACTGGCTTTTTCAGTGGGAACTCTCAATGTCCGAATCTGTAAGCCTTTTTTTTTTTGGACAGGTGGTTCCCTGTAGAGGAATCCTCCACTCTCTTGCCTGCTGGGTATAAGCCCAACTGGCTGCCTTCTGAGATCTGAGTAGGAGAAGGGGCTGGGGTGGGGGTAGGGCTGACCATTTAGTGTGTAGATGGTTCACTTAATCTCCCGTTTTCAGAATAGCATCTCAGCCCTGTCCTCTCCTGTACAAACTGCTCCAGGAAAGTGGACTTTTCTCCTGCCCGGCTGGGGTAGGGGATCCATCTGGAGGTCTCACCAGTGCTTCTGCCGACTAGCAAGCAACCCTCTGCTCTTGCCCTGAGCGCACCAGCCTTCACAGCTGTGGATTCTTTCCCATCTGCCAACTTAGGCTTCAGCGTTCTCCTCCTTGGTTATCACTCACTTGAGACCTGCTTTCCAGACTTGAGTTTTTGACATCTTTTGTCTGCTGACCTCGCTTTTCCCATTCTTTCTCTCCTTATGGGCTTATAATTCCTCTGCAGTCCTTGCAGTGGGGTTCTAGGAGCTTTGATGCAATCATATTTCATCTGCCATGTTTAGGGTTTATTTTTGAGTGGCTTCCTGGGCTGTGAAATGTGTCATTGTTGTTAGTATTTATATGCCAAGCACCTTGGCATATAACGGTCCTGGCCGAAGAGCGGGTTCACTGGAGAACCCCACTCCTGGTCGTCCCCCATCCTGCTTCACTGAGAATCCTCCTCTCTTCCCAGCCACGGCTGCCCCATCTCCCCTCGCCAGAGTCCATCTTTGCCCGGCAGGCCAGCTTAAACAGTTCAATGCTGGGCAGGCCTCCCAGGCTGAAAGCATGTTTTGTTCCAGCAGAACAAAGATACTTATGAGCCTTTCTGCAAAGTTCCTGTCATCACCTCATCCAAGGAAGAACAGAAACTTATAGCGACTTCAAATAAGGTATGGTGGAGGCAACCTTGTGGCATTTCTTTTGCTACCAAAAGTGGTGGAGGTTATTCTGAGTAAGTTTTGGAATAAAAATGTGCGAAATTGCCTGGGCAAGGCCTGAGAAGGGGTCAGGAATGGGAGAGTATAGCTCATCTTTTGTTTCTCCTGGTGCTGGCTCACGCAGTCTCCCTCTCCAGCCCCACCCCAGCCAGCAGGCTATGCTTACCTGCCTCTTCAGGCGGATGGCAGGGCTCCAGCGCTGTGGGAAGCCGGTGGTCCTTCGCACCTGCACTCCAAGTGACTCTCTTCTTCCTTTTTTTTAAAACAACCCACAGCCAGCCGTGAAGTTGCTCTACAACAGAAGTAACAACAAATACTCGTATACCAGGTAAGGTGTTGGCCAGAAAAGACATCTGCGCTCAAACCAGCCAGGCCCAGCTCCCCTCGTTCCCTTCAGATGAGGGTGGCCTTTTTGCACCTCTAGAATGCCCAGATGGATCGATAGATATGAAATCAAATTCACACATACCATAAAATTCACCGTTTAAAAATACACACAGTTCAGTGTTTTTTAGTATATTCAGAGTTGTGCAACCATCACCACTTACCTAATTCTGGGCCATTTTCATCACCTCAGAAGGAAACCTATACCTGTTAGCAGTCACTCTCCATGTCCCCCTACCCTCTTATCTCCCCCAGCCCTAGGCAACCACTATTTTGCTTTCTGTTTCTATGGATTTGCCTACACCGGACATTTCATATATGTAGAATCTTATAATATGTTGCTTTTTGTGTCTGGCTTCTTTCCCTTAGCATAACGTTTTCAAGGTTCATCCATGTTGTAGCACGCATCAGTACTTCATTCATTTTATGGCTGAAAAATACTCCATTGTTCAGACAGACTACATTTTGTTTGTCCATTCATCAGTTGATGGACAATTACGGTTGTTGCCACCTCCTGGCCGTTAGGAATAATGCTGCTGTGGACATGCATGTACACATACATGTTTTCATTTCTCTCGGGTGGATACCTAGGAGTGCAAATTGCTGGGTCATATGGTAACTCTACGTTTAATCACTTGAGGACCTGCCAAACTGTTTTCCAAAGTGACTACGCCATTTTATGTTCCCACTAGCAATATATACAGGTTTCTAGAATGCCTTTTGGCTCTTGTGAACATGTGGCTCTAAATCAGGAACTTATGGGTTGTAGGGGTATTAGATGAAGTTACTCAAGACCCATAAATGGGCCCAGGATAAAAAGTCTCCCTCGGGCAGGTCGCTCAGCCTCTCGTGTGGCTCGGTGGGGCTCTCCTCCATGTCCGCCACCTGATGCCTCTGCCCGCAGACCCCGTGGTTTCAGCACTTCATTTCTGGCTGTGGCACAGCAGGGCGTCCACCCTAGCTCGCTGGTGAGGAGCGCAGACTTAGAGGCCAGAGCTGTCTTTTTGAGGCTCAGCTCTGCCATTTATTAGTTTTTGGCTTCAGGCAGTCCCCTAATTTCTCTGACCCTTGCTTTCCTTTGAGCTTTGGGGACTGTAGTGCCTTCTTCACGGGCTTACTGTGAGGTTGAAAAGGGATGGTAGAGATAATGGGCCCAGTGTGTGGAAACACTCACCCACTAGTGGTGGCTGTTAACACCAGCTTGTAATCAATCACCTTATCAAATGCTCTTTTGCAGCAATTCTGACGACAATATGTTGAAGAACATCGAACTGTTTGATAAGCTGTCCCTGCGCTTTAATGGAAGGGTCCTGTTCATAAAGGATGTCATTGGGGACGAAATCTGCTGCTGGTCCTTCTACGGCCAGGGCCGCAAGATCGCTGAAGTCTGCTGTACCTCTATTGTCTACGCCACCGAGAAGAAACAGACCAAGGTAAGGGCCTCCAGAGGACGGTTCTGAGTGGCTAGTCTGAAATCTGTATTTGAAAAACTTCCCTTTCTCCTTGAGCAAAATACACTTCAAGAGGGAAAGGCTCTAAAAATGCTTTCCTTGACTCATGACTGCTCATTGTTCAAACATTCATTCTCTTTTGGGCCCTGGAAAGATCCAAATGTAGGCTTGGAAAAACAGAGTGGCGTTTCCTTTCTGACACCCAGTAAGTATAGACAGTCATACTGCTCATGGGTTCCTTTTCCGTAAAGGTTGATTCAGACGGGTCCTTGTACCCGTGTGTACCCTGCTGCCTGCGTTTTCTCCTCTGTCATCAACAATCTGACCCCACCTGTGCCAGCTCCTTGCCGTCTTCTGCTCGACGCTATTTCCCACCACACTGGCCCCATCCATCTCACTCATCAGGAGCAGTGCTGCCTTCAAGGTCTTGACCTTGGCCTTCTAGTCGTGAGCTACTACTTCCTTGTCATCTGTCCTCCTCTTACCCACCGACTTGGGCAGCCCTCCACCCTCACGGGGCCCTCTCAGCACTCCTCGTGCATCTGGGTGGCTTCTTCCCAGCATGTGACTCCCTGACTGATCTGGACTCTGGACCCACTTTTATGTCATCCTCTGCAAACCAGTGGACCTGACCTCTCCCTTGGCTTCTGTCCCTGTGCTGTTTTGCAAAGCTAAATCATGCTGCAAAGTGTGGATAGAGATCTGGTCCACTGTTAATTGATATTCGCTCCCTTTAGGTTTCTGCTTGCCTACCCTCCTCCTTAGGCTATGTGACTGGGTTGTTTTTTGCCTTTTCCTCCCTTCTTTTTTTTCTTTTTATTGAAGTAAAATAAAAAGTTGATTTATAATGTTGTGTTAATTGCTGTACAGCAGAGTGACTCAGTTATACATATATACATTCTTTTTCACATTCTTTTCCATTATGGTTTATCACAGGATATTAAATATAGTTCCCTGTGCTCTACAGTAGGACCTTGTTGTTTATCCATCCTATATATACCAGTTTGCATCTGCTAATCCCAAACTCCCAATCCATCCCTCTCCCATTCTATTCTCTGTGTCTATGATTCTGTTTCATAGATAGGTTCATTTGTGTCATAATTTAGATTCCACATATAAGTGATATCATATGGTATCTGTCTCTCTCTTTCTGACCTACTTCACTTAGTATGATAATCTCTAGTTGCATACATGTTGCTGCAAATGGCATTCTCTCTTTTTTATGGTTGAATAGTAGTCCATTGTATATATATACCACATCTTCTTTATCCATTCATCTGTTGATGGACATTTAGGTTGTTTCCATGTCATGGCTATTGTGAATAGTGCTGCTATGAACATAGGGGTGCATGTATCTTTTTTTGAATTATAGTTTTGTCTGGGTATATGCCCGGAGATTGCAGGATCATATGGTAATTCTGTTTTTAGTTTTCTGAGGAAAACCTCTACACTGTTTTCCACAGTGGCTGCACCAACTTACATTCCTACCAACAGTGTAGGAGTGTTCCCTTTTCTCCACACCCTCTCCAGCATTTGTTATTTGTAGATATTTTTCTTTTTTTTGAAGGCATTTTATTTAATTTTTTTGTGTTTAATTTTTAAATTTTTATTTTATATTGGAGTATAGTTGATTAACAATGTTGTGTAGACTTTTTAATGATGGCCATTCTGACTGGTGTGAGAATGTAGTTCATTGTAGTTTTGATTTGCATTTCTCTAATATTTAGTGATGTTGAGTATCTTTTCTTATGCCCATTGTCCTTCGGTATTCTTTGGAGAAATGTCTCTAGGTTTTCTGCCCATTTTGCGATTGGTATCTTTGTTTTTTTGTGTTGTATGAGCTGTTTGTATATTTTGGAAATTAAGCCCTTGTTGGTCGCATTATTTGCAAATATTTTCTCCCATCCTGTAGGTTGTCTTTTCGTTTTGTTTATGGTTTCCTTTACTGTGCAAAAGCTTGTAAGTTTGATTAGGTCCCATTTGTTTATTTTTGTTTTTATTTCTATTGCCTTGGGAGACTGACCTAAGAAAACATTGGTATGGTTTATGTCAGAGAATGTTTTGCCTATGATCTTTTCTAGGAGGTTTATGGTGTCATATCTTACGTTTAAGTCTTTTAGCCACTTTGAGTTTATTTTTTTGTGAGGTGAGAGGGTGTGTTCTAACTTCATTGATTTACATGTGGCTTTCTAATTTTCCCAACACCACTTGCTGAAGAGACTTTTTCCCATTGTATATTCTTGCCTCCTTTGTTGAAGATCAATTGACTGTAGGTGTGTGGGTTTATTTCTGGGCTCTCTGTACTGTTCCATCGATCCATATGTCTGTTTCTGTGCCAATACCACACTGTTTTGATTACTGTAGCTTCGTAGTATTATCTGAAGTCTGAGATGGTTATGCCCCCTGCTTTGTTCTTTTTCTTCAGGATTGCTTTGGCAATTCTGGGTCTTTTATGGTTCCATGTGAATTTTAGGACTATTTGCTCTAGTTGTGTGAAAAATGTCATGGGTGATTTGATAGGGATCATGTTAAATCTGTAGATTGCTTTAGGTAATATGGCCATTTTAACAATATTAATTCTTCCAACCCAGGAGCATGGGATATCTTTCCATTTCTTTGAATCATCTTCAGTTTCCTTTATTAACGTTTTATAGTTCTCAGCATATAAGTCTTTCACCTCCTTGGTGAGGTTTATTCCTAAGTATTTTATTTGGGGGGGTTGCGATTTTAAAAGGTATTGATCTTTTTACATTCCCTTTCTGATACTTCGTTGTTGGTGTGAAGAAATGTAACCAATTTCTGTATGTTAATCTTGTGTCCTGCTACCTTGCTGAATTCATTTACCAGTTCTAGTAGTTTTTGTGTGGAGTCCTTAGGGTTTTTCTGTATATAGTATTATATCATCTAAATATAATGACAGTTTTACCTCTTCCCTTCCAATTTGGATACCTTTTTTTTTTTTCTTATCTGATTACTGTGGCTAGGACTTCCAATACTATGTTGAATAGAAGTGGTTACAGTGGGCATCCTTGTTCTAGATTTTAGCAGGAAGGCTTTCAGCTTTTCACCATTGAGTATTATATTGGCTGTGGGTTTGTCATAAATAGCTTTTAATATTTAGAGATATGTCCCCTCTATACCCACTTTGGTAAGAGTTTTTATCATGAATGGATGTTGCATTTTTGTTAAAAAGCCTTTTCTGCGTCTATTGAGGTGATCATGTGGTTTTTGTCTTTTATTTTGTTTATGTGGTGTATCATGTTGATTTGCATATGTTGAACCATCCTTATGAATTTGGTATGAATCCCACTTGGTTGTGATGTATGATCTTTTTTATGTGTTGTTGGATTTGGTTTGCTAATATTTTGTTGAGAATTTTTGCACCTATACCATCAAAGATATTGGCCTGTAATTTTCTTCTTTGGTGGTGTCTTTGTCTGGTTTTGGTATCAGAGTGATGGTGGCTTCATAGAATGTCCTTGGGAATGTTCCCTCCTCTTCAGTTTTTTGGAAGAGTTTGAGAAGGATAGGTATAAGTTCTTGTTTGTATGTTTGGTAGAATTTGCCTGTGAAACTGTCTGGTTCTGGACTGTTGTTTGTAGGGAGTTTTTAAATTATAGATTCTATTTCAGTTCTATTGATTGGTCTGTTCAAATTATCTATTTCTTCTTGATTCAATTTTGGTGGGCTGTATGTTTCTAGAAACTTGTCCATTTCTTCTAGGTTGTTGAATTTGTTGGCATATAATTGTTCTTATTATTCCCTTATGTTTTTTTGTATTCCTGTGGTATCAGCTGTTATGTCTCCTTTTTCATTTCTAATTTGTTTGAGTTCTCTTTTCTTCTTCGTGAGCTTGGCCAGAGGTTTATCAATCTTGTTTATCCTTTCAAAGAACCAGCTCTTGGTTTTATTAATTTTTTTATGTTGTTTTTTAAATCTCTATTTATTTCCCCTCTGATCTTTATTATTTCCTTCCTTCTGGTGACTAGGTTTTGTTTTTTCTTCTTTTTCTAATTCTTTTAAGTGGTAGGTTAGGTTGTTTATTTGAGATTTTTCTCGTTTTTTTTTGAGGAAGACCTGTATCTATGAAGTCCCCTATAAGAACTGCTTTTGCTGCATCCCATAGATTTTGTATGGTTGTGTTTTCATTGTCACTTGTCTCAAGGTATTTTTTAATTTCCTCTTTGATTTCATCATTGACCCATTGGTTTTTCAGTAGCATGTTGTTTAGTCTCCATGTAATTTTTTTTTTCTCATTTCTTTTTCTGTGGCTAATTTCTAGTTTCATGCTGTTGTGTCAGAAAAGATGCTTGAGATAATTTCTGTACTCCTAAATTTGTTGAGGCTTGTTTTGTGCCCTAGTATGTGGGTCAATCCTAGAGAATGTTCCATGTGCACTTGAAAAGAATGTGTATTCTGGTTTTTGGGGATGTAATGTCATGAAAATATCAATTAAGTCTAACTGTTCTATTGTATCATTTAGTATTTCTGTTGCCTTATTGAGTCTCTGTCTGGAAGATCTGTCCATTGATGTGAGTGGGGTGGTAAAGTCTCCTACTGTTGGGTTGGCCAAAATGTTCATTCAGGTTTTCCTGAAAGATGTTACAGAAAAACCCAAACGAACTTTTTGGCCAACCCACTATTGTATTCCTGTCAGTTTTCTCCCTTTATGTCTATTAGTATTTGTTTTATGTATTTGGGTGCTCTTATGTTAGGTGCATATATGTTGATGAGTATAAAATCCTTTTCTTGTATTGATCCTTTTATCATTATATAGTGTCCTTCTTTATCTTTCTTTATGGGCTTTAGTTTAAAGTCTGTTTTTTGTTTGTTTGTTTGGTTTGTTTTTTGGGGGGTACACGGGCCTCTCACTGTTGTGGCCTCTCCCGTTGCGGAGAACAAGCTCCGGACATGCAGGCTCAGCGGCCATGGCTCACGGACCCAGCCTCTCCACGGCATGTGGGATCTTCCTGGACCGGGGC